CTATTACGAACGTGAATTTATAAGCCACAGACTGACAGAAAATATGCTCAAGATAGAAATCTTGACAAAGGATTGCTACACAGCATAAGCAAGTAACATGCAGGCAATAGAAGGCTGGTGAACTATATTTGATGTGGAAGGGCCAGAATTTACGCTATGGTTGACAGGGGAGCAAAATGGGGTGATCACTTTGGTGAAAAGACCTGGTTCTTCACAAACCCAATGTCCTTCTCTGTGAGACCCCACAAGCCCACTCCCAATGTGCCCAAGAACCGGGGCTCACAGGCCAGCAGACAAGCACGGCGACGGCGCCCTTGCTCAGGGCTACTCTGGACACACCCTGTCAGAGGGCGAGTGGACAGAAGGTGAGGCACAGCACAGAGGACTAGGTCATTGCAAGGAATAAAATAGCCATTCAGGCAACAACATGGACTTTTGTTGTTCAATTCTATTTTAAATTAATTTTTAAGCTTTTTCACTCTTAAACTGCTTCCTGCTCAATGACTCTTTCTTAATGACTCTTCTCCTGTTGTCCAGTTACTATCACATTCTTGTCTGTTTAACAAACCTTTCTAAAATGTTGACAAGTGCTCAACTGATGGACCTGAGCTCTAAAGTCACACTGCTCGTCTTGGGCACACACAGTGTGACCAGGCTGGTACTGAGCAGGACCCCGAGAGCGGCCCATGAGTCCCGGGTAGGCTCTGTGCCCTCCTACACACAGGCAGCCCCTCCGTTGGTGTGCCTTTGAGCCAGCTGCAGGCGACAGATCTGGGTGCGCACTACCTGGGGCCCAGACCCTGAGTGCCCCCTGAGGTCGGCAAGCCACCCTGCGTACTGCCTGGGTTGCAGCTGTCTGCACTCCCTGAGCAGATCCCACGCTTCTGAGTCTGCCTCCCGCTGCTCACCTTCCTGGAGCACAAAGTAAGAACCGGAACTTCTCCTGGAACAAGCCTGTTTCCCAGCCTGGGCCTCAGTGCCTCCCTGGAATTGTCTTCAGGAAGTCGCCCAGGCCTGCAGGTACACGCCAACCCAAGGCAGAGCCCAGGCCCTGCCACAACAGCCCTGTCAACCAGGAGTGTGCTCCCCCACTCCTCCCAGGGCAGCGTCCACCCACTCTGAGATGAGGAATTCTTCCCCAAGGAAAAGAAATGTAGATCACTAATTAGAAAAGCAAGGGTTCTTTTCTACTCAAAGAAGCTGTCCTGCTAAGTAATGAATCTAAGAGTAATAGTATGACTTCAGGGTAGGCAAATATGGAAGCCGTAATTCAGGGAGTAATGGCTAACCAAAACGCTTGGCCTGAGTGTCGTGAGCGAAATGAAAGCCCTGGCAAGAGCACGAGAACAATCCCCTGGCAGCCTACCAGGGCCTCTCCAGCCAGGAGCTCCCTAGCACATCCCAACTCTAGCACGCAGGGTGACGTGGCAGCTTCCAGCCCCACTGGGCCTGGCACCAGCGTCCCCTTTCAGTGAAATCCTTTTAAAAGAAATCTGCGATAGAACTGGCTCAGATACATTTCTATAACATATACCAAAAACCCATCCCCAAAGGCAGCTGCTGATACCAAGACACAATCAGAAAGACACAATCCACAAAGCCATTCAAATAATGGCCTATTTCTTTTAAAATGCTAGCTCTCATGCTAGACCCTCCTGGTCCACCTGGTAAGGAGGAACAGCAGCCCTCTGCTTCAGGCACTGAGCACCATCTGCTCTGCCAGCTGGTGGGGAACCCAGGAGGGCCTGGCCCTCAAGAGAGCCCCAAGAACCCCTCTCTGTGACTTTTTTCCATCTCACCTGCCCGAGGTCTGTTCACTAAATGTTATTAACAATGTCTTAAAGTTCTCAGCTAGCCCTGTAAACCCTGGCTTCCTGCCAGCCAATTTTCTCTCTCTGAGCCTGTTTCACTCCATCTTCCTCGTTTTACCTCTGTCTTATTTCCAGTACTACTGTGCTGTCTACTCAGCAATTTCCTCAGAACCACACGCGTGCGAACTCACCTCTCTCCTCTGGGCTAAGGACTGGAAATCTCAATGGCGGCAAGCCCGCCAGGCAAATCTTCGGTCTCTCTCGATTCTGAGCTTGTCTTCACCACTAACGTTTTACGCCCACTCGGTCTGTGGCCCCTTCCTGTTGCTGGCCCAGCACTCTGCTGACAACGGTGGCCGCTCCCGCCCTCCTTGGGTGCGCCCTTCTGACTCAGGCTGCAGCTCTCCTCTGCTCAGCACCATCTCACTTTGGTTTCTGAACTGAAGCTGGGTTTCCCTGGCGGGACCAGCTCTGCTCACATCTTGCACCTTCCAAACCCTGACCACGACTGGCAGTGCCCACAAATGTGCCTGCCAGGCGCAGGACCACCCTCTTCCTTCCCAGAGGACTCCAGTGATGCACTCTCAGTTTTCCACCCACCTGGCTTGGGAAGGCGTGCCTTCCTGTCCCCATCTTCCCAGGCCAGCGCTGCCCCAGTACTTTGCACCATGGCCAACAGCTGCACCACACAACCTCTGCCCCTGCCCCAGCCACCTGGCTCCGGCTCCACAGGACAGCAGAGAGGGACCTGGGACCCGTATAGGTAGGAGCTCCTGACACGCAGGGCTAATCAGTGAAATTAACCAAGGAATTTATAGAATCTATAGAAAACAGAAACTCAAATTGAAGCTCCAAGGTCAAAATGCAGCTACTGCTATCCAGACATAAGAGGTTATGAAAACAAACAGGCGTGGTCTGCGCGTGTGCAACTCCCGTGTGAGACCAGCTCACTTTCGCAACTGCAGCCAGGAGAAGCCATGAAGCCTCGTGATGAGCCAGGGCTGAGCACCAGGGCAGGCGGCTCAGAAGCTGTGGGGTCGCAGGTAGGCGGCTCCACCTCAACTCCCAGCGGTGTGCGGGGGAGCTGTGGATCCGTCAAGGGTCACAGCACCCGTGAGAAGGGCACCGTTACACACCAGATGCAGCCAGCTCCCCACCTTCCACCTCACTGTCCTGCTGCCATGCTTGACACCCAGGGCCTCGGGGCAGTCCAGATGCAGCAGCTTTGCACTTTGCCTCTGGTGTGGGCCATCGGCACCTTTTGGTGAATACAGGACTCAACAAAATGCAGGGGACACCAGCAAAGGCCAGGCAGAGGCCTGCACTTAAAACCGAGACAGGTTTTGCTGAGGGCTTGAGAGAACATTAAAGAGAATGACCGTGAGGCAGGAAGGCAGAAGCACCAAAGAGATGAGGGGCAGGGCAGCCAGGAATCGAGGACAGCAGCACCAGGGTCCTGGAGGCTGGCGCTCTGATTCATGTCAGACTGGATTTCAAACCTGCCTGATCTGCTAAGAACTGTGGCAGGCCTACGCGGCAGTGTGGTCTCCAAGAGGGGCTCACTGGGGTCACCTGGGGCAGCCTCAGCCACAGGGCGACAGTCGAGCAGCCACATGGCGCAACGGAGAGCCTGAGATCTGTAGCTGAGCTCCCAGGGGGATCATGTGGAATCAACTATAAGCATGTGACAGGAAGAGACCAAGGGCCACCCTGGGCTGGGGCGCACCGCACACAGCACCAGGGGAGCGCTGGGCTTTGGCCCGTCAGCCCTGCCAATAAAACCGGGTCGTCAGACACAGGCTCAGGTGAAAAACGAAAAGCCAGCATCGATTTTGTTGTAAAGCTGATCTTATTTACAAACAGAAGCCAGATAACCCTGTATTTAAATGGCACCCATTCCATCGCTCACCATCGAAGGAGTGACACTGGAAATTTATAGTTTTACATCGTGATTCAATCTCTCTTGGGGGGGCTTTCATTTCAGGGGAAAGAATAAAAAATATGAAAACATTAACAAAAGGAGGGAAGTGATGAATTGAGGCTGGGCCAAAATATGTCTCCAGTGGGCATATTCGTCTTCACGGGAAACAAAATAGGTCACGAGGGCGTCTGGATCAGCAACAGATATGAGGTTTCTACCCCTCACCAACACAAAGGGATTCTAATTTCTCCTTGTCCTCGCCTAACTTATCAAAGCAACGCAAACCCAGCTTTCCTCAACACAAAGAGCACAGCTAATTTATTCAAATTAAACCTCAGAGTCTGAATCTTTAAACCATGTTTTATAAAAGCTTGTTTTTGTCCTTTCAGAGTTAGAGCTGAGCTGAGACCTCTTCAGGCATGGTGGTGAGGACAGCAGCTCAGGAGCGCACAGGAGCACCGCGGTGCCAGCCTCGCCTGTGCAGGGGACAGCAACGCTAGCACTGAGATGGGCTTCTCTGCGGGGGGGCTTCCCAGAGGGAACTTCAATCCACATGCCCTGCCCTGGCTTTCCCTCCTGTGTGGGCACCCACTGTCCTTTACCAGCGTCCCGTCCCACTCCCTGCCAGGCACGGAGCACAGCACCCGGGGCTAAGCAGGCGTCAAGGAAAGGCCCCCGCACCACAGATCCCAAGGCGCTCTACCCTGCACACAAGGCCAACCCCTGATCCTGGCCACTGCTCTGAGTTACTCTCCTGCTCATTCCTAAGTCACCCAGTGAGGCCATTCTAGGCACTAAGCAGAACTCTGTCCCTAACCCATTTCCAGAAAAGCAACCCTTGTCGCTTGGCCTTTCTGTGAACATCCTCCCAGCACCCCAGCTGCCCCGGACACCAGAGCACCCCGGCCATGATGCACAGGAGTGCACCCACTGGGGTTTCTGACCAGGCTCAGCTACAGTCTTGCAAGTGCTAAGGGCCTGATCAAGGGCTGCCCCGGGGCCCTGGTGCCACAGACCAGAGCCACCGCCCCAACCCAACACTCTGAGGGGCAGGGCAGGCTCCTGCGGATCACTCGCACCCATGAACACCCACTCCGAGTGCAACCCTCGTGGGATACCACACCGTCCCAGACCTGGCACAGGGACATGTCTCACGTCTCGTCATCCAGGACACCACACTCCCAAGCGTGGTGAGAGCAGGGCTGAGACTCAGAGGCGGGCCACACGCCCAGTGCTGCTTCCTCCCCCTCGGGGCCCACACGGCTCACCTGGATGCCGTCCAGCAGCTTGCTCAGGCACCAGTAGGTGTCGGCCTCGATGTTGCGCAGCACCTCCACAGGCACGCGGGAGACATCAAGTGTGTCCACGTCGTCCTCCTCTGCACGGGCCACACATGGGAAAGACAAGGTGAGATTAAACACTGCCACGGACGTGGGCAGGTGGGGGCCGCCGGGGAGGGGCCCATGTGCCACCATCTCGCTCTACCTCCCCTGCGTTCTACACCGTGCTCACTAAATGGCTTGTGCGGCCTTACCCCTCATCACTTAATGCTTCTCAATTTTAATACACAATTAGTTCCAGATAATTAATATTCTGAATCCTCCCCAACTAATTAACATAATTAATATATTGTAAATTACTGCTTCTCAGGCATTTCACATTCTAACAAGGAAGAGTCTAGAATCCATTACTTAATTCCAAGTGGAAGTCTGGTCATTTCTCCATTATGTTTTTTGTAAGACAGGGTCTTGCTGTGTAGTTCAGGCTGGCCTTGAGCTCACTCTGCAGCCCAGTCTGGCCTCAAACTTGAAGCAATGCTCCTGCCCCAGCCTCCTGAGTGCTGGGGTGGCAGGGGCACGTGCCACCACACCGGCTCCCTTCAGACTTTTTAAGCCTGCTTCTTTTATGTTTATTCATTTATTTAGCAATGATCCCTCTAAAAACTGTTTCCAAGGTTAAAGCTCCAAAACTACCCCGAGTAAATACTTCTAAGTGGCAATCAAATACCCCTGAAAGCAGGAACACAGATGTGCTTCACAGGAAACACTGACAATCGTGCTCCAAACAACCTCCTCGAACATATAAAGGCCTAATGAGAAAGTGTGACTGAAAAGTTCTTAAAATGCAAAACAGATGCCTAATTGAAATGGCTTATCAGATATATGAACAAACTAATTTTAGACCCTTACAAAAACTGCTAGCACCCAGCATAAAACTCATAAATGTTTTTTAAAATCATGTATTCTATTTTTTAATTTTCTCACTTTTGTTAAATTTGTAAATGTACATGCATCCTTGCAAGAAAATGGTCTTTAAGGAAAACATTTTACCCCAGAATGCATTTAGAAAGTTTTAAGCAGGGAAAAATCCCAGTAACACCAAGAACAATAATAACTGCTAATACCTACTGCGAGCCCAGCAGGTGCCAGGCCCCTGCTCCATGCGGTGTCGTCTGCTATCACACCTCCGGCAGCACCGCCATGTGCTGCTGGACCAGTGCGGAGCATGCAAGGACGCGCGGAGCAGCCTGGAGGGTGCAGCTCAGTGTGGGCTCAGAGCCTGCACCCATGACCACGCCCCACGCCCCATGCCCCACTGGGACACAGCGCCCTGTGTGGGGCCCAGATCTCACCACAGACAAGCACACCGTCCCATAGCTCATGACAGAAATCGCAACGATGAAGACTGCACTTCCATAGCAGACCCGGCAGATGGACACAGGGCAGTAGCTGAGAACACAGAGTCTGTGTGGCCCAGCCCTGTGGCAGTGCAGGTCATGGCTTAGAGCCCCGCGGGTCAGCCTACCAGCCAGGGCACCAGCTCCCTGGGTGGCAGGAGGGTATCTGTAGGGACCAAAAGCAACGGTGCTCGCAGCTCCCTTCTTAACTCCACAGGCCAGGCGTAGGTTTAGTTGGCCTTTACAAGGCGATTAAATAATTGCAGGGTGAGGAAATCTACCCCTTAAGCTGTACAACCCAGGGGCCCTTACTGTGCTGCAGTGCTGCGCAGGCCCACAGCCTGGTGAGAGACCCTGGGCCCTCGCTGCGCGCCTGCAGAGCTGGCCTCCTCTCACCAGCAGGGTTCTCTGGGTACACGCTGCAGCGTGCGCCTGCACTTCCTCCTTCTGGGTGAACAGCGCAGCGAGGAAGGGATGCACTGTGCTGCTGCGCTGTCCTGGTGGCCCCACAGGCTGCCACCACAGGGCTGGGGAGCACAGCAGGTGGCCAGTACCCCGCACGAGGCCCACGGTGCAACCAGGGCGCAGGGGCAGGCAGGAGAGCAGAGCTCCTCAAGGAGTGTTTTTACATTAAGGGAAAAAGAAATATTCAGGAGCAAGAGCAGTCCGGGTGGCAGGGAGGTGGAGGAGGGTCAGTCACTCCCAGACGCAGGTGCTGTCACCCACAGTGTACTGGACGTTCAACCCCAACCCACTGCACGTCCTTGCCACCCAAGGGCTGGCCCAGAACGCAGATGCTCATTCAGCCACAGCCTGAGCCTTCCCTGGAACCCGGGACTCGGACAATAGGCATGCCTGGCTGGCCTTGATGCCCACACCCTGCAGTGGCTCCCACTCAGGCACACAAGGACCGCTCTGCCCACTACGGCCAGCCCTGCAAAGTGCCAGGCCTCAGAACCAGGCCGACACACCCTTCTGAACACTGCCTCTGGACTCCCCCAGGGTAGCCAAGCAGTCACAGATGCAGGTGCCAGGCCTCTATGTGCTGGCCAGAGGGCACCAAAGGCAGCGGTAGGCAGGAAGGGACAGGCCTGTCGCGGCACCTGTGTGGTCCCGCCGGCTCTCCTGCTGATAAACCTGGGGGCACAGATACTAGGGCCGGCAGCCCCTCACTGGGAAAACAGTCCCAGCAGATGCACGCCCCATCCGGCCAGCCCCAAGCAGAGCAATTTTCTTTTGTATGTAATCTTAGAGAATGGAACCAGCAGCCGTCATCAGAGTGAGGCTTCCGAGATGTCTTCCACTGACACTCTCTTTCCAGGCCTTCCAAGCACGGAGCGCTTTCCTCAGCTCCAGTGAAAGGTGAATAGAGAGACAGAGCTGCAACCCCCGAGCCCTGCCTTGGCCACAGAAGCAGCTGGGCTCTTAGCCCAGACACATGAAAAGCAGACGCTGTGTGGGATGGCAGAAGCCTCGATTTTTCTTAGTCTGTTTAGCTGGCTTATTATTTTATCCATGGAAATGTCAGCGGCCTATTCTAGGTGCCATTTCTCACAACGGGCCATTTGTTACTCTTCAATGTAATGAAGTAATGGCATTTAACTCAGAGAACCCCTGTGCCTATCTGTCTTCCAAACGCCAAGAGAATCCGAACTACCCTTCCTGTTAGAATGAGATAAATATCCCTGCCCTGGCCCCAGACTGCAACCCCGTGCTAGGAGAAGCAACCGAGCGGCGAGGCACATGGGCAAGGCCAGCCAGAGACACCGTCAGCATGGGGACCACACGGCACAGAACATGACGGGCCCTGCACAAAACCCAGGGAAGACCGCAGGCAAGCTCCTCTGCCATCTCTGGACTCCGACCTGCTGCGCTATCCCAGGGCAGGGCAGGTATGCATGCTGGGGAGGCAGTGAGTCAGGTACCAAACGGCCAAGGGAGGGCAGGCTTTGACTCAAGACCACAGACTCCAACGACACACTTTTAGGTGAGCACCTCCACCCAGGGCAGGAGAAGGAGCACAGAGCCACCAGGGGGCCTCACAGAGCAGGGGCCAGAGAGGACTGGGGTCGAGGCACGCGCAGCGGGCTCTGGCTCCCTAAGTTCACGTGAGGTAAATGGGCGGGAAGATGACCCCATCAGCATCAGTGAGCAGAATGGCCCTTCCGCTGCGATCTCAAGTGAGTCAGCGGAACAGACACATTGAGGAATTCCAGCCATCTAGTGCTGGCGTCAGAGGAAGAAGGTTCTCCCAAGACTCAGTCGTGAGGATCTGGTCTCCCCTCGGTGGGGCTCACAGTGGGGCCTAGAGACATGACCACGCTGCACGGCACTGACCTCGTCAAGGACCAGCCCACGAACAGCTCTCAGATGGCCACTCGGGGGCTCTGCCAGGGAGGAGGGTCGTGGGGGCGTCCCTGGGGAGAAGTCTCTCCTGGCTCTTTCCAACATGCTCTGCTTCCAGCTGCCATGAGGGGCTGGCTTTCCCTGTGGAGGGGGTATGTTTCCACCCCAGCAGCCACACACAGAAACTGAGGACCACAGTAAGTACTGCCTCCTATGAATTGCTTTTCTGGGGTATAACATATTTGGTTGCCAAAAAAGGCTAAAGAATATGCCCAGAGTTAGGGGAAAAAATGTAATTCAGAGAGGAAAATTATAAATGCACAGGTGAAAGCTGAAGAGGTAAGCAAGACGGGCCATGTGGGCCCCAGAGCCCTCAGGGACCTGCAGACAGGCTTAGGAGTTCCTCCCTTAAGCCACGGTGACACTCTGCCCCAGGTGGCCACGACAAGAGCAGGATGCGCCCCTGAACTGTGGCTGGGGTCACAGGTGCACACAGGGCCCCCGCCTCCTCCCCGCCATGGGGGCTGGAGCCACAACAAGGACCACTGACCTCTGTGTGAGGAAAAAGCCCCCCTTACCTCTGATCCTGCACGGTGGACAGGCTAAGGCCAGGAGTGCGGTGAGAGCAAGGCTTTTGTTTCTGAATCTTGCCCAGTGGGTGCCCAGGTGACAGGCAGGCACAGCCAGGGCAGCTACAGCATGCAGTGTGCCCCAGGGCACAGGCCCCTTCCCCTGGCCCTCGCTGGCTGCATTCTATGGGGCGCGCCATCCTGGGTGCCACCCAGGTTTTATTAGAATATGCCCTGAGCCCGATGCCTCTGCAGACCATCTGGGAGCAAACGACCAAGCTCGGGTGGGTGACTTCCAGGACTTTCCCCATCGGAGCTCGTGGAAAGCCATGCTTTATTATCTGCCACTTCTTGACCTCAGTCACCTCTGCAGGCAAGTAGGCAATTGGGTCTACTAGTAGCTTTCCACTCAGAATTAAAGAATTTACCTTAAAATAGACCTTTTTAAGTTTCTATTTCTTACACTCCGGGACTTTCTAAGGTGACACTTATGCTAAACACGTTACTAAAAATAACAGAAACTAGACTACCTTGTTTTATCTTAAGTTCTAAATTCTGGCTTCTATCATTTTTGTTATAAGCGCACATCAGCACTGGCACGTGTGACACTGCAGGGCGTCCAGCCCTTCCTCTCCCATGGTGTCCACGGCACCTCCACAGGGGCCAGGCCCGGCCCCTGTCCTCATCCCCTGTCCCCAAGGAACCAAGTGGAGTCCTGAGAGTGCCAAACAGATTGAAGTGCACAGCCCAACCCAGGGAATCTGGAAAAAGCAGAGAAGTCACTCG